ACAATATTTTTCATATCTACCACTACGGATTGCCCCTCTATTTATAGATCATTTCTAACTAATTTTCCCTCCCCTTGCTATAACAGAATTCTGTTGATATGTATTGTTCTCAACTCTTCCGGGCTCTTCTAGAATTGGAGGCCTATCAGAAACCTACTAATTTGAATCAGTTAATAGAAGAGCAGTTCCTGTTAGTTTGGAAGTGTAATTTTTTTGTTTCAAAAAAATAAAAGAAAAACACAATCTATTGAACTACTGGGTTACTTTTTGGTAGTAGAAAAACAATCTAGGAAGAATTTGAGACCTGGAGGTAAGCTTATACAATTGTGTCACATCTACCTACTAATTGAGGCAAACAATAGATTATGCTACGTGCACCATCTTTTGTTTGCATGTGCATATATACACCTGGCAATATATTCACTAAGTACCGCTTGTCTTTTGTAGAAAAGTTCAGCAGGTGCTCGTTGTTTGAGTATGTAAAACAGGACTTGGGTATAAATTTCCTGTTATTTTATAATATGGTTAATTTGTTCTTGGCAAGTGCTCACCTTACCTTGCCAACTCCTCCGCAAATTTCACTGTGGCTTTCGTAGAGTTGCTGAAAGAAATGGAACATGAGATAATAAATTTGTTTAATTTCCTACTTAAGGTGGTGCTATAATTTATTTCTATTTCTTTTCCAAGTTTCTACAATAATAGTTGTTGTATGGTTAAACAGTTGCAAGAAGATGTCCATGAAAAGCAAAAACAGGAAATTAAGATGAAAGAAGAACTGGAGAATTTGAAAGAGGAATTCAGGTCTCAACAGCAATATTTAGAAGAAATTATAAATGAACGCGATAAACTGAGATCATTATGTGATGAAAAGGATTCAGCACTTCAGGTAATTGCCACAAGACACAAATAAATATGATTCTCTTTCTGCTTCGCAGCCCATCATGATATTGTTATTCTGTAGGCTACAATCTTGGAGAAACAAAACATGGAAGTCAGGCTTCCTAAGGTAAGTAGTCAAGGATTGAAAAACAATATCAGGAAGGAGCTGACAGAAGCAAATAACCAGGTATATATGTGACTAGGACTTCATCTTTCTTATATATAATTGGTTATGGTGATTATTGCTCTGATAGACCTATTTTTTTTCTGAATCTCGTCCTATCTATCACATGAAAAGAGTTATCTTCTATCATTTTTTAATTGCATAAATGTTCATTTGTTCTTGTTGTTTTTGATGCATAAATGTTCATTTGTTCTTGTTGTTTTTGATGAAAGCTTTTGATTGTTATATATAGGTCTTACACAAGACTCAAGATGAATTGAAAGCACGCGATGCAGAGTTGCATGCTGTAGAAGAGTCAAGAAGGAAACTTTTAAGTGAAAAAATATCTCTTGCAGAAAGACTTACAAGGCTTGAAAGGAAAAATGCTGAAGAGGTAAGAGTGCTGAATTTAGTCATTGATTTTAACAACTCTATTTTTTCTAGATCACATGAAACACGGTCTTTTGCGATTCTTCAAATGTAGATTGCGGTAATCGAGGGAAGCTTCGAAAAGGAACGCAAGGCCTTGAAGCTTCGTATTTCTGAACTTGAAAAGAAGTTGGAAGAGCTTACAAAAGATTTGGTGATTGCACAATCAGCGATTGGAGCTAAAGACATTGAGTTGTCTTCCTTACAAACTAATCTGAGGGAATTGGAGGACCTGAGAGAAATGAAGGAGGTGAATCATAGCTTTCCTATTATGAAGTTGCATGCATAAATACCTTACCTTCTCGATTTTCATCATGTTACAAGATCAAAATTCTTATCAATAATTACTTGTTTAGGATATCGATAGGAAAAATGAGCAAACTGCTGCAATCTTGAAGATGCAAGGTGCTCAATTGGCTGAGATGGAGGCACTTTACAAGGAAGAGCAAGTTTTGAGGAAACGGTATTTTAACATCATAGAAGGTAACATTGACTTCTTCTCCTTTTTTCTGCTTCTCCATTTATATTATCATTCTTTTTCTCTTGAACTTGCTATCATTTCTTCTACGACTAAGTGATATAGGCAAGGG